TTAGTCAATACAAATAAAATGTTTTTTGAATTATTCAAATCGGACGCTCCGTTCTCTTAAAAACTGAGTTACCATTTTCGGCACTTTTTGCCCCGTATCTTTGGAACGACTAGACCTGCCTTCGCCAAAAACTAATCAGCACGTCTCCTTATCAATACGAATCGAATGTTTTTTTTAAATTCTTTTGAATTATTCAAATCGGTTGATCCGTGTTCCCAAAATCGTCGACGAAAATTTGTATCCACACATACATACACACACACACACATACATCCATTTTTTTTAAGGTATGCCAAAATATTCAGAAACCTCTGAAACGTAAAGATATATAAAAATTTTCATTTTCGATTTTTTTGCGATTACTATAACTTACCCTACGGGAAGTTAAAAATTAGCTTTTTGTTAGAGGAATTGTTGTAGGTACTGTTGTTAATGAAATTAGAACCAAAATTGAAAGTAATCTAGAAATAGATATTCTGGATGTTCATTTTATATTGCCATCACCACTTTTTATGCAGAAATAACATGAAATTTATTCCTTTTCCAATTAACTTCACATATAATCAAATTTTCTTCAAAACAACTACAGAATTTAGAACATACATAAACAATTTGAAATATCACAATTTTAAAAAAATATTTATGTGCAACAATTTTTTCCTACATTAAACAATAAAAGAGATAAAAAATTATTTGATCTCTTATAAAGCCTCATGAAAATATAGTCTTATGATTAAATTAATAGTCCAGTGAAAATTGGTAATCTCATAGATTTCGAGGTGCTCTTTACGAAAATCAACTTTGCCACCTCAAATTTGAACGGCGAGTTGCCGCCATATTGGAAAAATGGCGTCAAAAAACAGCTTTTTTAAAATAACTCCTTTCTGGCTCATTCTACGATAAAAGTATCTATGTTCGAATTAAACAAGATAAAATTTCCTACAATTCTTTAAAAAACCGTTTTTTGTAAAATTGATAGTTTGAGAGCACGACCGCCTCAAAGTCTTTGCTGCTCTCGCCGTAGTATCAAATCTCTCCATATATGACAGCACCTTGAACTTGACCACATTCTCTCTAATAAATAAATATTTTCAATGTTAAATTTAAGCGAATGAAATCTAGAAATGAAATAATTCAAATATTTTTCTGTTTTTTTACCTATTTTTCAACACTTCAAGCTACTTATAGCTACTTTGCCATTGAAGTTTTAAAAAATCAGCAAACAAACAGAAAAATATTTGAATTATTTTAAGTTCTAGATCTCATTCGCTTAATTTAACATTGAAAATATTTATTTATTAAAGAGAATAAACAAACTATTGTTTTTACAAATTACAAACTATCAATTTTACAGAAAAACGGTTTTCTAAAGAATTTTAGGAAGTTTTATCTAGTTTAATTCGTACATAGATGTTTGTTTTCATCGTAGAATGAGCCAGAAAGGAGTTATTTCAAAAAAAATTTTGACGCCATTTTTCCAATATGGCGGCAACTTGCCGTTCAAATTTTAGGTGACAAAGTTGATTTTCGTAAAGAGCACCTCAAAATCTATAAGATTACCAATATTCAGAAATCCCGGAGTACTGTACCGGCAACAGCCTTTTTTGAACCAAATGACTGGACTATAATTTGTAATAAATTTACTGAATAACCTGTAACAGTTGTGCAAAGAAAATGCTTTTTCCTGATAACTTAAATATAACTTATTTTGAAATGTTTTAATAAGCTGTGAATAATTTTATAAACAGTTTTGAATTACGATTCAAATTATGGATTTGTTATACAAATTATAAATCATTTGATTATATATACTTGTTTAACATCTTATATTGTTGAATTGGCGAAGATTATTGATTAAGTTTAAGTAGGGTAATAATTTAGAGTAACGGAAAATAATTTTGTTTTCGCAAATCTTTACATTTCAGGGGTTTCTGAACATTTTATTTTACGTGTGTGTATATGGATGTATGTACGTATGTTTGGATATAATTTTTCGTCCACGATTTCGTAAGTACAGATCAACCGATTTGAATGATTCAAAAAACATTCGAAAGTGCCGAAAATGGCAATTCACTTTTGAAGAGAACGAAGCGTCCTATTTGAATGTCAACAAACAAACAAACATGTCACTTGTATTGATAAAATTAAAAATTGATGACATTTTTTGATAAGACATGCCCAGCGGTTTCGGAAATCCAATAAAAAAGTTGAAAAAAATGCTATTTGGCGGTCAAAAATGATAATTAGACATATGTGCATCAAGTTATCAAATATTTTATAGATATTTTAATAATAAATACATACTTGGACGGGTTCCGTACCAAGATTTATAATGTTTAATCGTTAGAGACTGCGACGCAATAGAATTTTTTTACTTCAAAATTTCCAAAAAAAACTTAACCCTTTCCACTCTCAAACTGCGAGACTCGTATGTATTTTGCCGCCGGAGCGGCAGCATCCGAGCGGAAAGGGTTGATGCTATAAAAAAAAATTGATTTACCGCACGGAAGTTCCAGCAATTTGCTGTAAGGCTCGATGACATACGCCACTAGTTATTTCTATAATAAAGAATGAAATAAAATATTTGATGGAAAACTTTTGTACAAACAGAATATTTGTACAATTTTAAATAATATATGTTACTGCAGAGCTAACAAAATATAAATCATCGATCAATAAATAGCAGTAATAAACTGAAAGACAGACACAATTCGGTATAAATTCAATGGAATCGACAGGTCGCTGGGTCCACACAGCCGATTCGAAGCGGAAAATCATTTGCAATCATACGCACAATGTTCAGCTTCCCCATTTGCGCGTTATCAATCAATTCATGCATAAGATCACACACGAATGCATGAGATATGGTAACATATACGCAAAGAAAAAATACACCCTCCAAGCACACAAAGCGAGATACGAACATTAGAGAACGTTACGTAAGAACGTAAGCAGCCGCAGCCGCAAGGCGAGAGATCTCGGCCGGCGTAGACCCTACGAAACGCTTTTGAGTTCGAGTTCGAGTCCGAGCAGCGACCACTTGTTGTGTCGAATTGTCCCCTCGCCTCGTGAGCAGATTTGCCGACTCGCACCGAACGCAGCCGAGGCCCGAGCGCGATGCTTGCGAATTCCCGGCCCGACTGGGGCCCCCGTCTCATCGCAATGCACGCTCCGCGATCCGGAGCCCCGAGGGATATGACACAGAACGTGTCACAATTATACGTCAAATTTCTATTCACTTTTAGGCTATGTCGATTACAAATAACACAACATAAAATAAAAGGGGCTCCAAATCATGTATCAATAAGCCTACGTGAATTTTTTCCGAGACACTTGTAGGGAAACCTATATTTATCGTAACTTCAAACACTTCAGAAAGGCCGGCGTTGCGACTTACTGTCAAACTTCCAAACACCGCGAGTCTAACTCATAGTAGGGGCGCGATTTTCCATGCACGACACAAGGGAAAACAGTGATTTGGGGAAAACTAGCGTGAAAATTGTGTGAAAGCACTTACCGCACCGCACGCCACCTATATTAACTGCGTCGCCTGAAAGCACAACTCATTTCCCGACTAGCGAACCGTGTTATTTTGACTCAATTCGTGGTTGTATTCATTACTAAAGCACTTTACACTATTTTTACTACTTGCTAAAAAGGTTGATACACTAAAATTCAACAATTGTTCGGTCATTTGCGACCCCTTCGTACATTAATTAAAAAAAATAGAATAGACATATCGACATATCACTATGCGAGTCTGTATCGCTTACAAGTAATTTCTTCTTATTTTATTCTGTCGCTCTACCGTTCTATGAACGACTGGCCTGAAATATGCCAACGATAACAAAATGGCGTTCGCCAAGATTCATTCCCTTCGCAATTGACATTAATTTAACAACATTAGTGGCGAAATATCAACAAAACGACATGAACATAATAAAACTGATGCCTGCAGTCGTTCGATCGGTAATTTTTAATACACTATATTACGTTCTTTTAAATTTATTATATTCTGTATTTGCACATTTTGGGGTTATGTTATGAAATTCCGATTTTTAGATTCCATGTCGTAACTCGAGTTTTAGAAGTTCTAAACCAGTCGAAGAAGTTAGTAATTTACCTGAATATGAAATTATTCCAAATCCTCCAGAATGGAAATTTGTAGAGCAGCAACTGTTACCCCTAAAGGCAGTGCCAAATCCTATTATGAAAGAATCTTACCCCTCAGGGTGGAAACCTCAAGATCCATCGTGTGTAAATAATCCGTACTATATTGCAAGAACTAGAAATCATATGCTACCAGTATATTTAAATTATCGCACAGAAATTTGAGAAAAACTGACTCAAGTAAAGAGAATTCAGGTGATATTTGGAAATTAGCTTCAGAGTTGAAAGAATATACGGAACAAAAAATGAAACGAAGGTAGCAACACAAGTGAATGAATTAGCAGGTCAAATATTATTAAAAGGTGATTATGTAGCTTATGTCGAAGAGTATTTATTAAATAAAGGTTTTTAATTTTGCTATAAAATTTATTGATTGTACATATAGGTTGAATAAAATTTGTCATAAAATCAAATTCACATAATTTAATTTTATACAATTAGATGGTCATTCTTGTAAATATACAATTTAGCATACATTATATATTTATTCATAATATAGATTTATATATAAATAAATTATTATAAACCCTTCTTGAACAAAATAGCTACAAATTTGTGATCTTTTACAATTTACAATACTTTTACAATTAAAACTGGGCTCTATTTTTTGTAAATTATTATAGTTAACATTTTTTTGTATTCTTTGCATAATGGTTACAACAAACAGAATTTAAATTATTAAAATCGATTTCAACTTAACTAAAATCACAAAAACCCATTTATTATGGTTTCAAGCAATCAAACTATAATCCTCAAAATTTATAGAATTTTACAGTTTCTAAGAAAATTCACTAAACATACTTATATAATTTATCATAGACATGGTTCAAAACACTAAACCTCATACATTCACAGAAAATGTTCACATTTTATATATGTGGTGTCAAGTAGGAACTGTGCGTTTTAATGCTTTCCGAATGACAGTCCAGTCTTCGAGAATATCTTGTTCAGAAAGCATATATACAATGTAAGGTCCAGAAACAGTAACCGCTTTACGCCGACCTGGACCTCGAACTTTACTTGACCGTGACCCTGTATTCCAATCTGCCCATGAAATATCCACATTATGACGGTCTTCCTCTAAGCGTCTGATTTTATCTAGCAGTTCTTCATGTATGAAATCAACAGCAAGGGATTTTTCACTCTAACAAAGAGAAAGCAGTTTTAGAAGTTAGAATCATGAAAAAATAAGTACAGTATTTATATAAATGATTAAAAATGCAAAACAATTGCTCAGTACTAAAATAATGAACAATGAAATAAAATATCAGTCAACAATATTTCACAGTTAAATATTATATTGATTTAATTTCTAATAATTAAAAAATAATTATATGAGATATTTATAGAGTATATGACAAAAAATTAATTACAATTTCAATATTTCATATATTAATATGATATAATTATATTTATTACTTCAAAATTTTGCCTAGCTGCCTGTTCCTCAGCAGCATATTTATGTTGGATATTTTTTAATCTAAATTGCTTCAATTGTCCCAGCGACCTCATGCCTAATTCTCATATTTTCTTGCAGCCTCTGCAAAGGAACAAGATATTCTCTTGACCTCCCATTTTTCACTTCCAACAATTGCCACTCTACATGACTTATCCGTTCCTTGTACAGCTGTTCACGTATCGCTAAGAATTGCTGCTCTAAGTCAGCTGTAATAATAAAATAGATTTTCATAAGATACTATAGGAAATTGATTCAAAATATTTTGAAATTCTATACTATTTATTGCATTTTAATTACTATTATAATTAGTATACATTTAAATAATTAAAACAATTGACATTGAAAAATTTCAGATTATGTTAATGAAATAATTTTTCAAAGTTTTCCAAGTTTTTTTTTTTAAAGTCTGGAAGTTTTCTTCTAATTAATAAGCATAGTGTAGTCAATACATTTAAGCTTAAATTAGGTAAGAATCTCGGAATTCGAGATATCCAGCCGTAAGTATGTAAATTTAAAAGACGTCTCAAAAAGTTGTCTCAAAACCTACATATGGTACGTACACACTACCATATGTAGATTTTGAGACAACTTTTTTACAGACTTACAGCTATCTCGAATCTCGAATTTCGAGGTGAACTTACTATAATGATTGGACTATAGATATAAGAAACCTATACATAACGTTGATGAAAACAAAATCCAATTGAAACCTTTTTTATATCGCCATGACTACTTTTTATTTAGTACTCTTTTATTTAGTATTTTGTAAATTTTGAAAAACCATTTGATTTGTTGGATAGAACTACAAATTCAAAAAACTATAAAATCACTGTTTCTATGTATAGAAATCATCAATTTAATTTTTTCTTACATTTGCAGCACATTGCAAAGACAGTGTACAGTATTATGGTATATTGCAAATTTAACTTGCCGATTTGTTAAAACTTAAAGATATTACAATAAGCTAATGTGTTGTATTTATAGATGCTTTGTCAAATGATTTAATATTGTTACAAAATGTATAAGTATGTATAAATCTAAGAAAGATCTGTTTAAAAGAAAGCAAACTCACTCTAAAAAAGTAATCTCTAAAGTTTTTTGTCTTGAGAAAAAGAAGAAACAGTTATTTGTTTAAATGAAAAAATCAAGTGATGTAAAATTAAAGTGAAAATAAGGCTATAAGCTGTATATTTTACATTTTCTTATATTAGGCGCCAAGGCACGCCATCAATCAGCTGTTGACAGCTTAGGTTATGTTTGTTTGTGTACCTAATATTTCCAAGCATTCTTTTCTTCTTCGATCGCATTCAACCTCATCCATTTCAGAAGAGTCATCTGATTCCAATTCATCAGCTTCTTCGGCACTAGAGTCCCTCTCGGGGGCCCTACTCGAGTTTGAATGGTCGCTTTCGCCCCCTGACATATCGTCAGCATCGCTTTCTGCTCCTTTCACCGAAGGCATTTTGAATTTATAATTAGGAAATAATTTATTTATACGCACAAAATCACTCTAAACAAATAACCGATTATTTTAACCCGGGCCGACACAATTTGCGTAAAAATTAGGTGACAGCCAAATACACATAACCAAACAGCGCTTGTTTGATTGATTTGTTGACGTCCTGGCGGCGAAAGTGCGAACTACGAGTTGTCAGTTTTGCGAACTACGCTTGTAACTTTTTCAAAATGGAGTCATTTTTCCCTTTATTTTTATTTATTATTATTATTTAATTATTTATTTGATTTTTTTTATAAATGATTTATTAAGCAACATAATACTAGAGGGGTGCATGGCATCGTGCCTTAAGACAAATTGCTGGAACTTCCCCTACCGTAATTAAAAATCTTGGTACGGACCCCAAAAATATTCACACAAAATGTCTACACATTATTAAAATCTCTATATAATATCTGATAATTTCATGGGCATATGTTTAATTATCATTTTTGACCGCCAAAAAGCATTTTTTTAACTTATTTTTATTGAGAGTCCATAACCGCTAGACCTGCCCTCCCAAAAATTTGAACAGTTCTTCATCTTGTCAATACAAGTAAAATGTTTTTTGAATTATTAAAATCGGACGCTCCGTTCCCCTAAAAACTGAGTTACTTTGCCAAAAACTAATCAGCACGTCTCCTTATGAATACGAATCGAATGTTTTTTGAATTATTCAAATCGGTTGATCCGTGTTCCCGAAATCGTCGACGAAAATTTGTATCCGCACACACACACACATACACACACATATACATCATCCATTTTTTCTAAGGCATGCCAAAATGTTCAAAAACTTTTGAAACGTAAAGATATATAAAAATGTTCATTGAATGAATTATTCAAATCGGTTGATCCGTGTTCCCGAAATCGTCGATGAAAATTTGTATCCGCACACACACATACACACACACATATATACATCCGATTTTTCTAAGGTCTGCCAAAATGTTCAGGAAACTTTGAAACGTAAAGATATATAAAAATTTTCATTTTCGATTTTTTTATATCGCTTAGTATAACTTGTCCTACGGGAAGTTAATAAGATGAAAAAGTAAAAAAAACGTATATCAATCGAATTAAATTTACGAATTTTGTTTGGCCAATTTCACTATAGCACTTGCTAAACTTTTCTATTTACGGTAATTTCTTTTAAAATGATAATAGATAGTTGTTTCAATATTATATTATTAAAAATAAAACATTTAAATTACAATAATTCTCAGACTACTTAATGCTGAGATAATAATACAGTACATTCATATGGTGACTTTTATGAAATCTGCATATGAATTCTTAAGCGACTTAAAACTAATATAATATTAATGTACAAAGAGTAAATAAAATTTATTTAATTTTATTAATTTATTTAATAAAATACTTATTTATAAGTTTTTGTACTTCTTCTTCCGTAAATTTTTTAAAAGCGGTCTTTTACAAAACACTCAAAGGCGGATTCTTATGATAGAAATCATTCTAAACATCTCAAAATTTGAAAAATAATATGTACCATTAGTTTATACTACTTCTCAGTGATTTGATTAAACCAAATTTTCGGGGTTTCCTGTCATGCAAAATCGTCAAAACGCGCCCCCTGCGAGTTTGAGGTGCTCCACCATTGTATGTACTACAATAAAATAATTTATTTTAAGTCTTGTAAAACTGTTTTGGTATAAGCATATAAAAATAAAATTTCATAAAATAATTAGATCGATATCATTTGCAAACAATATCAATTCTTTATCAGATCATTTATATTGTTAACGCTAACGCTAAATTGCTATTAATTAATTAATCAATTAAATTTGTTCAAATTTTTGCAAATATATTGAGCATTTGCGAACACTTATACAATAATTACTTTGTAAAAAGGCTATTTGAAAAAAACATATTTTTGCGATTCGATCACATCGAAAAATTTACATTTTTTGTGGTAAAATAAAGCAAGTTTAAAGTCGGCATAAATTGACAAGTCTTTAGTTGATAAAATCGTAATTACTGTAAAAATGTAATGTACTGTACAAATTGATACTTGTGCAAATATATTTTACTGATCATTTTCTTCTAGAATCTTTAAGCTACTATTTGTATGTAGATTTCTTTTCTACTATTTACTACTAGATTTATGAATGCAATTAACTTAATGTATAAACTGCATTTATAATTTAATATAATAAATCTAGATCTAACCAGAAGCAATAATTGAATAATAGTTGCAATTCCGCTATTTCAACCGTAGTTTAAATGAATATACTTCATTAAAATAGATTTATTTTTTAAATAATATGATAACGTTTATTGATTTATCTCTATCTTTATTGCCTATTTATTCAAAGCGTTCTTGCAAATAAATACAATTATTGCCACTATATGCTATTATATGTCACAATCTTCATAAGGCCACAAAATATATGTTATATTTATAAAGCGAATGGGTTTTAGCTGTATATATGAGTTCAAATTCCTCCTTCAGATCAGTTTATGAATAAATTAAATTCTTACTAATGCTAATGCATTAAAAAAATTATATACAAAAACGCTCAGATCAACTACTTCGAAAATTCGCATAATCCATTGCAAGTAATATAATTTATATTAAGATCTTGTACTACATGTGCACATCACTCCTGGTGTTGTCTCTGGTAGATCTGGCTGCATGTTTTACTGGACTAGTCATATCTCCGTACTGGTTTTCGATCACAAAAGCATTATCCTTCGATCCAGTCCAAGGCCTTGCGATTTGAGGATTTGCCAAAACAGCGTTGTTGTTGTCGCTTCTTGCGCTTACTGCAATATTTATAGGGGTATTTTCATCCTGGAAATAATATTTTGTCTAACTACTGAAATTTGGCATCAAAAACATTTTTTATGTTAGTATAGAGCAGTGATTTCAAACTGGTCCATATGGATCCCCAAGGGTCCATGACCACTTCTAAGGGGCCTACGCCAACGAAAAAGAATCAAGGAGATCCACGATAGTGGATCACAACAAACCTCGTTTTTATCTAGTTCATTAATATTCTGAAGTCAATTAATAAATATATAATAAACTTCAATGTTTAATACTAAACGTTATATAAATACACATTTATAAAAAAAATCGATATCAGCTAAATAGGAGGTCCATGGCGTAGACTAAAGGGTCCACGACACAAACAAGTTTGGGAACCTATGGTATAGAGTATATTTTTACAAAAAAAACTATCCACTCCTAGTCTTCTAAATAATTCGATTAATATAAAATTCCTATATTATTAGTTATGAAGATTTATAGAGTAAGGCCGCCTAGGTCATACCCCCCGGCTATATTTTGTGTGATAATTATAAATTATATTATCTGCTACCGTTAAATAAAACTAACTATTTGAATAGCTCAAAAAAGACAAAGACAATCAAATTATTACCAATTATTTATAAATAAATTACCTGCTTGGATACTGGATTTCTGTAAATAAAACGCGCCCAAACAGCTAATAGCAGCATTTCACAGAGAACCAGCGAATTTTGAATCACTGAAAAATAAAAATAAATATTATTAATAAGAATTGAAAATATTATGCAAGAAGTTAATACTTAACATAGTTAATAAATAATTGTGGCGTTTAATAATTAATTTCCACTCATATCAACATATAGTTTATATTATTTATTTGAGTTTAGCCAATATTACCATAAACTAGTAGTGAACGGCGTCATGCCTTAAGGCAAACTGTTGAAACTTACCGTTCCACAAAATTAATAATCGATAAATTTTGTTCAATAATTAATAACAATTGTTTTAAATATTTTCAGAAAGATAATTATAATTACTATATATTTACTATTTATTTATAAGTGACGATCTTATCACTCAAAACACTTGAAAGTGTTTACATTAAGAAGAAATGCTGAAAGAATCCATCTGAGGATATATTTCTTACGCGTAGAATAACTCATATGAAATATATAAAGTTTTAAACTGAATTGTAATTTTAAACTGAATTATAACAAAATTTGTTTTTATTTCTATAAAATATCTGATAATTTGATGTGAATATGTCTAATGATCATTTTAGACCGCTAAATATCATTTTTTTACATTTTCCTCTGTATCTCCGTAATCGCTAAGCTTGCCCACCCAAAAATTTAACCAATTCATTTCGTCAATACAAATAAAATGTTTTTTAAATCATTCAAATCGGTTTTTCCATGCGGCCGAAATCGTGGATAAAAAATTGTATCCAAACATACATACATAAACACACACACACATACATCCATTTTTTCCAAGGTAAGCCCAAATGTTCAGAAACCATTGAAACGTAAAGATATGCAAAAAAAATAATTTTCGAATACGGGAAGTTAATTATAAAATACGTTATAACTGACTTTGACTGCACGAGATAGTTGAATTGCATATTTCATACTTACCCATTTATACAAAATTATCAACTAATTTCTTGCCAGTTAAACTTTCGTTTAAACAATATTAATGTAATATAACGTTCAGGCGTGTTTGGCTTTTTATATATTTGAATATAATTCACATGGAAGATGGATTATCAAATTAAAAATAATTTCTATTACTAAATATATTACTCGATAGTTTCTCAATTATTATACTTTTTTATAATTTATCAACCCTTCAATATACGTTTATGAACTGGAAACAACGTTGTTTAGTCGTCAACGATCATACCATGTTGAATACACCGGTTCTCGTCCGATCACCGAAGTTAAGCAACATCGGGCGTGGGTAGTACTTAGATGGGAGACCGCTTGGGAACACCACGTATCGTTGACTTTTTTCACTTTTTTTTAAAATAATTATAATAATATAATATTATTTTAATAATTATCAATTTTGATTTTGAGGCAAAAAACAAACTTATACATATAAAAATAAATTAATTAATTTAATTAAGCAGTTAATATTTGATGTTGTTATTTCAATAGTAAATAAAGAAAAAATCATAAGCGTATATTCTAATATTCTCCTGAATTTTAATATGTGAGAGTAGTGATTATTGTATTATCTAGTTGAATTGCGAGTAGTAATTATTGTACTATATAATTGAATGTATTGAACACATTTCATTAAATGTATATAGATAACCTCAATAAAATCGTTCAAATGTGTAAATAGGTAAATAAACTTACAATTTGCGACAAGCGCCGGCGCCAAAGGCGGCATGCATGGCACGACCCCGTTGCTGGCAAGCAAACGGATGAGCAACGCCTGCAACTTCGTACTGATCAACACTAACTGCAAACACCGGAACCGATTCTGCAAAGGCCGCTCTGGCAACACTGCAGATGCCAATCTGCAAAACACGAATGTAAAATCAATTAAAATTAAAAATAAAATGGAGTAGAAGGGGTTAGATCTCACTATCTCAAAATCAAGTGAAGTATGGTACTTATAACTATTTTCAAGTAGAGAACAAAAGATGCCTAAACAACTATCGACTTAGATCGGGTGACTTCGCTAGCACGATATAAATAGCGACATTGCCAATTTTTTGGCGAAAGTGGTTTTGAGACTATTGTTTAGTTCACATAATTTAGTTTATATAATTTCTAAGTGTGCATTATTTAATTGTTTTTAACTTGTTGCAGAAATTCAAAGTCCTATATTGAAGCAGAAAAAACGTCAAATAAGTCCAACTGGTCCAGCGGTGGCAATATCAGTTCGAACGTGAGCTAGCACCAATTTGTGCCGGGTTCGCTGGTTCGATTCCCGCTACCGCCAAAGCCGAGCATCAGGCAACTTTGATGTCAAATTTCTACTTGAGGTTATAGATCTCAAATATAGCCTCAAGGGAAAATCGCCTCTCGTGGGTATAGTTGAATAAATATAATAAAAATGTCAGCAAATAATTCGAGGATAGTTAATTAGACATAATTGGATTGGACAACTACTGGGTTGCCATCCATTCAAAAATCCACATAACAGAGTGGGTTGCCATCCATTCAAAAACCCACATAATAGAGTCAAAACAATTACTGAATATCCTAAGTCTGACAGATTGTAATTAAAAATGTTAAAAAATATGTCCAACTAATATATTCAATATAAGTTTGAAAAATGTTTCATATATTAATTAGTCTAATCATAGTCTAATATTTAACTACTTACTTTAAAGTAACATTTATTCCGTAAATGCCAAGCAATATAGAAGCCAAGCATATTGGTTGAAGGAATTGGTAATATGTGTTGTAGATTCTCTAAAAAATATATTAATCAATATAAGATATGCAAATTTATAACTATCATAAAATTGTTTTACCTGATGTTCAGATGCCATGACTAGAAGAACAAAGTATACTACAGATGTAGTAAACGGCATTTGTAATACCAAATATCCCAAATTAGTAATGTGACATCTATATAAATAAAAAAATATATATCTTGCTATCGGTTTCCACAAAATAGAAAGTAATAACTTATATAATTTCAACTACATAAAAAATGCAATGACATAATTACTGCGATAACATTTGTAGTCTAAACTTGTTTGAATCTTGTATATTGATTTACATTTACTATAAAAACTGTAGCATTTCTACTAACACTTTCAATGGTCTTTCTGGTAAAAGTCGTCCACAGAAAGGCCAACAGCAGCAAGGAGGAGCTTGCAGCACAAGCCACGCATCATCCCGCCGTTTGCTCTTAATTGATTTTAACATTTGACTTTGAGGACCGTCGCAGCAAAAACTGCTTCCTTCAGCGTATGCAGGAGACAAGGCCTTGATAATTAAAAAAAATAGTATTAAAGATACTCATCATCAATTTGTAGGAATAATCTTAGAAATGGAGATTGGAAAATCCAAACCAATTGAATTCATAAAACTAGACTAACATTAGTATGTACCTTTTCGGTATTTTCTGTTAGATCCCTTAATTCACCATCACAGTTGGAACAATTTTTGACTAGCAGAGAATAAAAACTATAAGCTGCTATCATAAAAACAACTTGTGATACAGCTTCGCATAATGGTTGGGCTCGTGGTATTGACAAGGTGAACACGCTGCACATGCAAACGACCTACAAAAAGCACAAACATTAATAAATAAAATTAACATAACACTAACAAATCAATATGTATTGAGTGCCAGAATGTCTTGGAATACGATTTTAATGCAATTGCATTGTATAGAACAATTTGACTTTAAAAAAGGTTCATTGTAAGACCACCGTAAAATTAAATTCAACGTGAACTGAGTAGAAAGATCTTGATCGATCGATTAATAAGGGACAGATTATGAGCTTAAATGAGTATTAACATAATATAATCCGAGCTTTAATCAATATTATTCGTTACGTTATTTTAATTTGGGGCGTACTTGGCGTCTCCACCGTATAGTTACATTCTAAGTCATAGCGTGAATAAATTAAATATCTATATAGATTTTAAGGCAAAATTAATAATAATTTAAATAAGAATTGACCATTGCTAATAAAAATAATATAAAGCAAATATCTTATTTTAGTCGCATGTAATGAGAACAAAGTCACTCTCCAGTTTCTCACATCTATCTCTCCAAGTAGTAGTTTACAATTATACACAAAATGCAAATTTCAAAAAAAAAAAACTGAAGCAATCGAGACGTATTCAGTATACGATTGATTGGAATAAACAATGACTATATAAGTCGCAAGGCCAAACAATGTCTTGGATTGGATTATACCATGTTTTCCATTCGGACAGGATACGTTATGCTCCCGAGTGGATAAGAACCTTCGTTATTTACATTTAAAAAATTTTTCCTGCGTATGTTAAAGAGAATCTAGAAATAGAGTTGTTGTTGAATAATAAGCAAATAATCAATTAATAACATACCGTATATACGCCGACTACAATACTGGTGTCTTTGAATAAGAATCTCCTCTCGTTCCTCGCGACTGATCGCATGGTGCTCAAGAACAAAATCAGGACACTTATGAAGATGAGAACAGATGCCGAAATCAGGAGGGCTGCCCATGTCATACCCAAACCTAAGAATATAATAAATATAATATAATTAAATATATAAATATATGGTAAAATATTTATTAAGAGGAAATAAATTTGACTTTTAACCCTAGAACGGTTTTGTGCTTAACAAGTGTTTTTTTCTCGTTTTTGTCAATGTATACTTTGTGATATTATCAAAGTTATTTCAGAAAATATAAAACTCTGGTTTAGTAACAAATAGTCTTTTTATTTTCTCAAATTTCCATAACAAATGGACCATCACCATTTACGCCTCGGATGTCCGCATGTACGCCTCGGAGGCGTGCAGATACGATTCTAGAGTTAAATTTTTCACTTATTAAAAATAGTTTTAAGAGTTCTAAATACTTATTGTTAGTACTTTCTAAGAATTGCGATTTTTAAGTTAGTTCTTTTGATTTCATTTGTTTAAATTTAATTTTTACGAGTCGATAAATTTATAACATTATTTTTTATGTTTACACGAAATTTTCGATATACGTAAACAAAAAATAACTATACAAAAATTAACTATAAAATTTTATCTATCAAATGCAACACATGGCATGATAATAATAATAATGCGGTATTTGCTGTTATGTATTCATTAATACTAATAAAATCAAATTAATTGCTTGAAGCCATTTTCACTTGCCAAATAATATCTAATGCTGTTAGCCAACTCACCGAGCCAAACAATATTTTTAAATTTGTCTTAAGTCAACAAATACCTTTATCAAGAACAGCGTGAACTTGAAGTAATATTGCTTATTTTAAGAATCACCTTAAATATCTATTAATAATTATTAAATCTTATGATTATTCTGAGATATTTCAGAAGGATATTTTACATATTTGTAGTTTAATTAATTATAATAACCTGAATCGTCGAGAACACATAAAATTAGCCAGTCGGATTTTCTGGCAAAAAAAACTTTTGCTTCCGGAAGTTAACAATACTACGTGTATATAGAAAATGTATTATTGATTGCCTTTCTCGTTGTCATTAATTAGTAAAAGTTAATCAATCAAAATTTAAAAAATCAGGGACTAAATCCAAATTAAGCTCATATAATAAGCTACTTTTATATAAAACTTTTAAACCAATTTGTTGCTATGAAATACAATTGTGGAGCAGTGCTCAAAAAACTAATATAGAAATAATACAGAAATTCCAGAACAATTTTTTGAATCTCGTATACTGGCTCTGATTTGTTCACAAACACATTTTTCAATGTATTCCACAAATTTGATTTGAACAATATTTGCAGTACAAAAAACAATAGGTTTTCAAATAACGCTACTATTAAAGTAATTAAACAAAACACCTATCCGAAAACATTAATTGAAAAATTATTTTATCCTTTTTAGCTAATAATAAAAGATTATTTAGCATATATTAATATGCATTATATGATCTAAGCCAATATGAGTAGAATCACGTAATTTTTTTTTCGATATATTTTATGGTTACGCCAAAAATTGAGTTTGAAAAAGGAGCCACTTTGGTATATTTTCAATGATATCTCGGCAATAAGGTGAGATACAAAGTTGAAGTTTGGTATATCGGATTTTTTCAAAAAAACCTTCAAAATGTCGTATAAATTATTCAAATACAAGGGTGTTAGCCTATTATGTATCAAACCCTTGCGCGTCGTGATTATTATGTACTCGACTGGCAGACCCTTGCAACCGTCAGAATGGGTTGGCTTTTTACATATGCTTTCTGAACAGTTAAAAGAATACACCCTCAAGCCTTGTGGGTGCAAGTTATGAATAACATTTTTTTGACATTTTCACAAATTGAAGGGATGATGACGCAACCGCGGAATGACTGCCAAAATGGTACTTTCTTAATGGGTCGATAATAAAGTATCATTAAAAAAATTTCTCTAGCTCTCAGAAAACAGGTTAGTCAAATAGTTCACTGGCTTATCTACTATTATGTTACGGTCCTTTCTTCATATAAATTGGTAGTAAAAGCTGTCAAAATGCTATGTATTTGCTGTGCAGTCAGGCGTTTTACTTATAAAACCTATCTTTAAGTAGGTGTTGCAATGACAAATCAAAAAAATGCAGTTGTAATAACTTTATTTTTTTATGTTTATACATTTTCTAAGTAAGGTTTTGGATCTAAAACGCCATTCATTACCTTTCATTTCGCTGCCGCGAAATTATGTTGTAGTTTATGACCATTTAAAAATCAATTACTGAACTAACAAAAGATTTATTATCGATTTCATTGATTGCCTGAAATACCAATGAGTTTATAATGCGTGCAAGTAACATTATTATGAGTTCCACCTGCATAACATAACGTAACATGGTGTAACTTTCTCCTGAACCGAATTGGATGACGACATGGCTTTCGCGGATCGAAAAATACATATACCGAAGTAATAAAATTTAAGTGATGATTTTAAACAAACTTTAATGGGTGTGCCAGTACGATTGTATTTATTTGTTCTTTTCGAAATTATACAATTCGAGGTGAAAGAGACTCGAAATATATTTGAATAACAAAACCACACACGTATTATTTGAAACATTGATTATTATTAGGTAAACAATAATATGTTTTTTATTTTAGTCTAGAAAGTATATATGCATGTCTTGAAATCAATTATTGATTGAAACTATAATGATGATGCCTTTTTTGATTTTAAAATATATTTCCAATGATCCTATATCATTAGGTGGAAACTCA